GACCCCCGCCAGGCAGCGGGCCCGCACGCGCTCCCGCTGCAGTCCGAGCCCGGCCGCCCTCACGCTCACTCACCGGCCGCCGGCCCTGGCGCTCCCCGCAGCCATGAGCCCCGCGCAGCCTGAGCCGGGCCCGCCACCGCCCGGGCCAGAGTCCGGGCCAGACCGCACTAGCGTCCTTCCCCGCCCCCAGGCTCTGCATAATGAATATTCATTAGTTCCTCTGAATATTCATTAATACGCTTCTACGCTCGCCCGCCCGCCCGCCCGCCAATGGAACTATAGAGTCTCTACTCCGCGAGGCAAGATAGGAGCCGCTGGGACCATAGACCTCGAGCTGAACTAGAGCAGTTCCGGGAACGGGAAGGCGCCGACGCCGTCTACCTGGGATAGGGGGCACAGCAAATCCCATACCATCGACATCTCGCGGGGCGGCTAGAAGGGCCACGACTCCTGCGCTGCTGTTCCACTCCCACCCAGCGGATAGGAAGATACTGCAGCCCCCGGAATCAAACACCACAGCGCCCCCTAGCGCCATTGCCTGCAGAGCCTACTGAGCCACCGCGAGGCTTCTCGTAGCGCCCGGGCTTTCTTTGGCCCGCCCCTCCATTGTCCAGCCCTTCCAGGGCTGAGCTGTATCAGGCTCATGCCCACGCAACACATGAGTTATCAGGGAAGTCTGGACATGATAAAGGCAATCAATCGTCTTCATTCGGATCCCTTAAAAGTAACACACCCTACTGCCAAGCCGAGTGCTGGGAATAGTACAGCCTGGGAAATAACCCTCCTCTGGTCAGTTCTGCATGAACTGCATTTATGTTTGCACTGAGTGTCCTTTGTACAAAGATGAGGACTAAGTGATGCCACTTAAAAACAATTAAGCAGTAGGAACATAGGACAAGTGTGTAATCTTTTTAATCTCTTACATTTCTCACGGCTGAGTCACTCACTGACAACCTACAGCAATTACATATATTTCCCAGAGAAACCATCCAGTGCACAAAGCTAAAGTTGAGAATTTCTCCACTCTACAAACAATTCAAGTTACCATGACATTATCTGGGAATTTAAACATTCCTAATCAGGAACTTCCCAGTGATAATTCCAGCACTGATCCACAAACCCTGATACTCCAGCACCAGCTCCTTATAAATAGGGAGTGGTTTGGCCAAATCCTATCCCCTCAAACAAAATCCAACCAAGCTGTTTGAGCCAGGACTAGTTCCAACATTATGGCTTGCTGAGGCAATCTAAGCTTGTTGTGGGGCAGAGCTCCTCTCCGGAGTTTCCCAGGCTGCACCAGTCTGTCACCCACAATGTCACGTTAAACCCCACACAGAGGTGCTGTGCTGTTCCTGTCAGCAAAGTTTTCTGGTGCTTCCAGTTCAAAAATAGGCACCACCATTTGCTTTGGAGGACCAAGAAGCCACAAAGACCTCACTTTCCGCAACTGAGAGAAGGCCCCTTGCAGGTGGCAAACATTCCTGTCAAGTATGCTACTGCCAGAGAGGCTGAGGAAGGGAAGAATGGCAGGCTTATTGACTAGCAGGGTGGAGAGAGAGGTGGAGCCCCAGAAGTTTAAGAGCAGCATCCCACATAATCAGAGCCTTTGTTTTGTGACAGTCCTGTTGCTGCTTTCAAACATGTTTCTCTTCCCAGGATCACACAAC